CATTGATAAATGTCAGTGTAAGCAGTAGAATAATAATTAGTCACATTTTTTTTTATTACATATTTGTATATTTTCGTCGTCTCTGCATAAATAAATAGTAATTTAAATATATACACATTCAACAAAATTTTTCTCACAGCTTTTTTTTTTTCTTGAAGAAGGTACGTTTGTTTGAAGGGTGTTATTATGTTGGTATGTCGTAGAAAAATATTTCAGCAAAATTTTTAACTGTAAAAAGTAATTGATTAAATAGAAAAAAAATTAAAAAAGGAATTTAAATATAGAATTTTTATTTCGTTTTGGTAATAATTTCAAAAACAAAATTTTGTTTAACTTTAGTAAGAAATTTTTATTTGTTTATCAATTGTTGCAATATCGCATTTTAAAAAATCAATTTTGTATTTTTAGTACATTAGAGAACGTACATTAAAATTTAGACTTTGTTATATTTTTGATTTTGAATTAAAAATAAATAAATTTTTAATTTTCATATATTTTTTTTAACTTTTTAATTAATTTTACTGGTGGTATTGTTAAAAATGTTGCTTAAATTTTTTCCTACTTCTCCAACATATTTTTTTTTTAATTTTACATTGCATAATATAATGACTTGACATTTTAACAAATTCTTATAAATTATTTATTTAATTAAATTCATATCATAGATATTTAATCACATATCATGTACATGCGTCGTTGATTTTAGCACCAGTTACAATTATATAAAAACGAATCTGCTTTACAAGTTTTAAATTAAATTTTCGGAATTCAATTTTAATTTTTTTCTGAATTCTAATTTTTTTCAATTTTTATAAAGTGAAAAATTACTTTTAACTTTCTTATTGTTTAGGGACAATTACTTTTTTCATGAATAGTGTATCAAGTTTTCTATTGTTTAGTCAAATTGCTTTCGAATTTTTTAATAAATTATTTTTTCTTTCTATTCAGTAGAAAATAATTTTTTATTCTTAAAAAATTGTTAATATTAGGAAAATTTATTTTATTGACAAAATTGAAAATAGATTTTTAATTGCAATTTTTTTTTAAACATAAAATAAAAGGTTTTCTATATAGGAAAAGTTGAATAAAAATTTTTTTATGGAAGATTGAAGAATTAAAGTAACTGTGGTGATTTTATACTATGTTTTTATAGACTAATACCAATGTTTAGAAATTTTTTTATAAACCTTTTATTACCATACTTTAGTCGCGAGAAACGTATTAATAACAATTGTAGAAAATAATCTTTTTACTTAATTGTAATGATTTATTATAATGGTTGTAAATCAAAATAAAATTTATTAAATTTTTGTACTTAATTTTTGGAAAAAAGTTAATCCACTTATTTTATACAATATTCGAATGGTTTAGAATAATGTAAATTATTAAAAATATCAATTTTTTTTTCTAATAAAAATTATAATTTATTTACTTGAAATAAAAAAAATATATTTACTAAATTTTTACATTTTATTCATTAAAAATAAATAGATAATGAAAATAATGTGATATTGTGTAAATACATTTTTATAAACATACAATTTTTGATGTTACATAAACTCTTTTTATTTATAAATATTTTCAATCCCTGCCAATAAAGTCATTTATAATAGAGTAGGCAAGCTTATAATAATATAATAATTTACCAGTAGAAATTAAAAATAGAGTTATAGTGTAAAATTTAGCGAAACATTTTTTTTAATATTGTATATGTGTCAAATTTTGTTTGCTTTTATAAATCTATATAATTTTAACATTTATTATTTTATTTCTTTTTTTTTTTTGAAAATAAAATATATTTTTCCATTTTTTATTATGTACTTTCGATGTTAGTTAAACACTTGTAAGTTTGTCATAGGATTACAGATTTATTTAGGTATATAAAGTTGAGGATTAAATTCTAATCTATAATATACGATAGGATTAAGGATTATAAATAAATTTTGTTCCTCTTCCAGCCTAAATTGTTTTTCTGGTCGAGTTTCAAGTTTAAAGATCATCAAAAACATTAAAAATGACATATTTCTTTTTTAATTTCAACATTTAATTTTTTTTTAATATTTAATTTAATTCAAACTCCCATAAAAAAAAGATATTTGACTGAGAGCCAATTAGACTTTTTATTTAGTACGAATCAATTTTATTTTAAATTAATTTTTATTTGGTTTAAATTAAATTTTAGTTGGTTCAAATTAAATTTTATTTTAGTCCAATAAAATTTTTATTTAAAACAAATAAAATAATTTAGTAGATTATGAGACTAATATACTTTCATTTAGCTCAAATATAAATTTATTTAAAAATTTTATGTAAACCAAAAATAATTATATTTTGTTTAAATGAAATTTTTCTCTGGGTGAACATGATAATATAACAAACTATATAATCTGGATAAAAATATTAATAAAATTTTATAATTTTTATAATTGTATTTCTAATATTAATTTATAAATGAGTATTATCTTTTCTGTATGGGTAAAAAAAATTATGTTTTGAAATTTATTAAACAATGATTAATATTTGGTTAAAAAATGTTGCAAAATGTTAGATGATCTTTCATACCAACTTTCGTAAAGTTTTGATAAAAAATGCATAGTAATGACTTTTGGTAGGACATAAATAGAAGGAATAGAAAAATTTAGCTAGAATTTGCCAACTAATTCAGATTATTGATTTTTTAATGTTTTTTTATTTTATTTATTAAAATAATGTTTGTCTTTTATTTCTTAATTCAGCACAGAGATCACAGTTTGTCTTCTTTTTTATTATGGAAATAATTTTTAATTTTTTTTTTAAGGAAATTTTTCCAAGTTCCAAGTTAATTTTATTAATTTTTATCTGAAATTTACTTCGTATTTAGTCAAATTCATGAAATTTTAAAACAAAAGTAGCGTTGAAATACAAATTTTGATTTTATTAAACAAAATTACAAACTAAGGCAAAAGATAAAATATCAATAATTAACAGAAAACGTTTAATAAAAAAAAAAAAAAATGAGAAAAAATCACTGTGATCCCTGAAAGTAAAATTTTTGAGTTATTTTTTCAAATAGATTATTTTAACAAATATAAATTAAAATAATACAGTAAAAAATGTGTCCTCCGTACTTGATTGGTTATACACTGTGACCTGCACAATTTTGCAATTTTTTTTGAGATGACTAAAGTATGGTACGACATTTTATTCGTTCGATTCGAGAAGGAGGTACACATGTATAATATATATTTATTTTTTTTCTTGAATAAATACGTCTATCAGTAACATTTAGAGAAAAATATATGACCTATTTTATATCGCGATATAATTAAATATTCACTTATTTTCTGTTATGTTTACATTTTTAATTGGGATAAAGGACGTTTAATTACTTCGCCATTACTGTCATTATTCCTTGTACAAAAATGAGAATAAGAAGGAGCCACATCAATGGCACACAAAATAGAATCTAGATTATGATTTTATTTATATTAAAAAATAGATTCACAATATTAATACTGATTATAGGCTTTTAACAGTGACTCCTTCAATTATCTTCAAGCGTGTTTCGTCTATTTTGGTTTTTTTTTATACATATTCGTTTAAACAGTTGCTTATAAATAAATTATAACCATCATTTTTTTTTTAATATCAGTTACAGTGTTGAGAATAAAATATATTCTCAAGTGAGAATATATTATTATTTATTTGAATTAGAATTCAATTATTGATTATTTTATAGTAAATATTGTACTTGACTATATTGCACTTGCATTTTCATTATTAAATTTTTCAATATTATTCGTTAGATTTTTGTAGACTTTGAAATCAATTCTTTATTTGAGATTTATTAATTTTTTATTTTTTAACTTGTTGATAGTTCCATTGAATTATAATATTTTTAGACAAAAGTAAAATATTCTTTCAATTTAGTTTCATGGTAATAATAATATGGTGTAATTATAATATTATGAGGTAATAATAATATAATTATAATATTATAGGCACACAGAGAAAAATTTTATTTAAACCAAATATAAATTATTTGAGTTAAATAAAAGTATATTTTTCTCAGAGACAACTGGATTATTTATTTGTTTTACATACAAATTTTTATCGAAGCAAATAAAACTTTTATTTTGAACCAAATAAACTTTTATTTATATCAAATGAAAATTTGCAACAAATAAAAAGTCCAGTTGTCTCTGAGTCAAATAGTTCTTTTTTCTGGGTGTGGTAATAATAATTTTGATCAATTTATTACAATGGCAATAACAAATATTATTTTTTTAAACAAATTATTAAATATCGCAGAAATTGGTTTTCTTTAAATGAATAATTTTTATTTGTTACTAAATTAATAATGTAAAAATTTGAGTAGAGAAAAATTAATTAATTTTTGCAAGAAAATTTTGTGTGCATTAAATAAGATTTGTTTCTAAGATACAGACTTTTTTAAATTGAATAATAAATTAATAATTATTTTTGTTACAATCATAATCATGTTTCTTATATCGTAGAGTAATATAATGCTTTCTAAAACTAAATCAGTGATTTAAGTAATTAGTGACAATAAATAGTGACTCTTTCTAAAATGTTTCAATCAGTAAAATTCGATTGTAAATCAATTATAAATTAATTAATTTTTAGTAATTTTTCACTGATAAATAATTTTACAAATAACTGTTATTTTTTTAGTATTTTTTTACTAAAATAGTTATTTTTCATTTTTGTCAATCAGTGAAAAATTACTCACAATTCTCGCACATTTTTTAAATTGATTTTCAGTGGAATTCTGTTGATTTAAATCGCGAAAAGTCACTGATAATCATTTTACTGATTCAATTTTATAAATTGGCGCTTTTCATTAATAATAATAACAACAACAATAATTTTTGTCAATAATTCTAATAATAATCTATTAATAATCTAATAATATTCTAATAATAAATAATTACTAAATTAATAATAATTTTACAATTAATAATTAAATTAATTTAAGAACATAAAAAGCGAGAAAAAATAAAATGAAAAAAATAATTAAAACAATTAATTAGATTATTAATTAATAATTTTAATAATAATAATAATAATAATAATAATAATAATAATAATAATAATAATAATTTTAACTAATTTTCTTGGGAATATCAAAGTCGATGGGATTGTATCGACTTTGATACTCCCTTAATATTTAGTTACACGTAATAAATAGATTTTATTAACTTGATGATCGTTATATTTTAGAATAGAATTAGTTTTGATTCTTTTTATTGTTAATTCTAATTACTTTCTTTGATTTTGGAAAACGTCTAATAATATAAGCGACTGTTCTTTTTTCCCTTCATTTTTCGCGCAAGGTTCGGTTTTATACAGCTGCCAATTGAATATAATTTCTCATTTCTAGAAAAAAAATGATTTTTTTCCTTATTATTTAATTGTATATTATATAGTTTTATATAAGCACGAGCGCCCGAGAAAATATTGATAAGCTATAGATTTCTCTGATTAACAAAAGAAAAAAAATTATTGAAACGTAACAGTTGACATTCATCTGACTTTTTCATTTAAAACGTTGACAGCTGGCTCTTTACGTTCCTTCGCTAAAATTAATTTAAATTTTATTCACTGCTTCACGAGACTACTGTATTTCTGAAAAAGAATAAAAATTAACATTTTTAATTTAATTTTAGGAATGTTCATTTGTATTTATTAAAATATTTCAACTTTAATATGTGACGTGTTCCGAAGAATGTTACCTAAGAAAGAAAAAAATTTAGGTTATATTCGTAATTTTTTGAATGAAAATTTGTAAAGAGAATTATCTTTTAAAATAAAATATTGACGTTCAAATCTTCATTACATTTGAAATAATTAATAAAAACTGATTTTAGTTTTTAATTAAACATAGAAACTTTTTATGAAGGCAAAAATAACACAAACATAACCTCAATATATTTTATTTCTTTAGTTCTCGGAGCGCGTCACATACAATACGTGAATAAATAAATAAATATAAAATATGTGCTCTTATTAATTATAATAAATATTAAAATATTTAAAATATTAAATTATAATAATTATAATTAATTATAATTAATTATAATTAGTTATTTTCTACTATTAATTAGTTATTTTTTATTAATTTAAGGAATCTAATTTAGAGGAACGAATATCAAGAGATACCGTTTATTAAATCATTAATCAAATATTAAATTATTAAATCAATCTCCATAATTTGTTTGAACAATAAACTAATAAACGGAATCAAAGATGTTAGATGTAATATTAGGATACAAAATTTGTATAGTGTAAAAATAAAATTTTTCAGCTTAATTGACGTGTTTGAAAATACGAATTTTTGAAAATTTTGTTAATTAATCGAAAATCATGCATTATTTATTTTTAGAAAATAATTTATAATATATTTTGAATACTATATTGATTGAGTCTGTGTGTTCATTCATATTATAATGACGTCAGTCAGTTATAAAAATCACACCCTACAGTAATATTTTTTTTTACAAAAAATAACAAATTGTGAGATTATATTTATCACGAAAGTTAAAATTAAATATTTCAAAATTTGCTTCTTATTAGTTTAATAAAAAATCTGCTTTAATTTGGAAATAATACTATAAATATTTAAAAATTTTTACAAAACTTTTTGCGAGTTATTACTCTTTAAATTTGAATTAGTAAAAAGTGTTGACTAATTTGAATTTAACTAACTTTTTGCTTCTGAATTAGTAAATTAGTTTAAATGGTTATTTTTATTAGTAAAATTTACTAATAAATTAGTCGAAATGACAATTTATTAGTAAAATTTTACTAATTAGTAAAAATTTACTTACTAATTCAAATTAGTTAACATTTTTACTAATTTAAGTTTAGAGAGTAAAATCGAGTTACAAAATTATAAAAAAAATAAATAATTATGACCAGTTATATTTATTTATTAAAATATTTATAAATAAATAGATAATATTAATAACAAGAAAAGGAATCATGCAAACAATATTATTTAATTAATGTTATTAATTATAAAATAAATATATTCCATGGAAAAAAGTATTCATATATATGTTTTTTATAATGTATAATTATTAATATTAATTGATAATATGCTGGTAATTAATTAACTTTAATGGTGCTCTCTAAATATGAATTAGTAGTTTTCTATTAATTAAACAATGCAGATTCGATTAAGAATTTTTCTATGAATTAAAACATTTATTAATTAATTAACTATTATTAATACTTATTTTATTCAATAGTTAAAAACTATTAATTTTATAGTAAAATATCTATTAATTGAAATAGTGAAACTTTACTATATTGCATTTGATAGTAATAATTGATACTATAATAATAACTATATTGTAATAATAATTACAAAATAATTAGTAATTTTGTACTAAAAATTAGTAAAATTCTTTACTATATAATTATTAAACGAATCCGCATTTTCTAATTAGTAGAAAGTTGCTAATGAAATTAATAAAAGTCATTTAGTAATAATTTTACTAGGAATCAATTTTGCTAACAATTAGTAGAACTGTTTTATTATATAATAAGTATTATAATATTATATGTTATCTAAATTTTAATTAGTAAAAATTATTATTAATTTGACTTGGAGACCGACTATTTCCTTTTAATTTAGTAAATTTTACTAATAACTTAGAAATTACTGTTTATTATTAGTAAAATTTACTAATTCTAAAGCAAAAATTAAGTCACTACTTCAAATTAGTAAACAATTTTACTAATTCAAATTTAGAAAGTGTATTCAAAAGTCGATAAAAAAGTTATGCTAATTCTTTTAGTGAATTTGGTGTCTAGTATTTAGTGAAATTCTACTAAAAAATTTAAACTGCTTACTAAAAAATTAGTAATTTTTACTAATCAAAAAGGAAAAAAGTCCATGAAAGTTATTAACTCTCTAAACTTGAATTAGTAAAAATATTTACTAATTTGAATTAGTGACTGACTCTTTGATTGTAAATTAGTAAATTTTGCTAATAAATAGTAATTTCTACTAATTTTTTTTAGTAAAATTTACTAATTCAAAAGCAAAAAGTCAGTCACTAATTCGAATTAGTAAACATTTTTACTATTTCAAATTTAGAGAGAACAATTAGTGAAATTTTGCTATTTGTTTGTAGAATTCTACTAATTCAGATTTAGAGAGTTATAAATATTTTATATTGCATTAGTAATTAGTTAAAAGTTGACTTACTATTTTGTAATTAATAACATTAACAAAATTAATAATATTATAAACATTCAATGCCTATATAAATAAATAGTTTAATAAATATTATTCGTATCTTAATGATTAATTTTGTAATTAATTCTAAATATTAATTACTAAAGAAGCAACATTAAGTATATAATGTGAAAGTGTAAAAATTTTTTAAAAACACATATTTAACTATGAAGAAAGAGAGAGGATAGTGCACAATGAAGGAGAGTAATTCGACAACACGCACATATTTGATTTTCTCAATGGAAAATGAAAGTACGATTGACAAAATATTAGTAAAATATAATTTTACTATTATTAGATTATTAATTTATTTATATTAATTAATATATATATTAGTAAAATATAATTTTGCTAATATTTTTGCAATTTTTGCAACATGTATAAAAATAACAGTTCACTATGTTTATATATAAAAGAAGGTGGGACGTCACAATATTTTTTAGAGAGAATAGTTTTATATTTAGGATGAGACGATCAAAAATAGGGTGATAAAAAGTTATTAGAGAGAAAGAACTTTCTAAGCTACAGAATATGTGTACGTATACATAACATACATGTATGATGGAGAAAAGAGGAAACTGATTATAAATATTTTTTTTTAAATTCATCTCGAGTTCTTTCTTAATTTGCCTGTTTTTTTTTTCTTTTTTTTCTTTACCTAAAAGTGAAGTATATCCTGGCAGGCGATTCAGCCTCTCGATGTTATCAAACATGTTTTTTAGTCGACTTTCATCCTCCTGTTGAGAAGGGGGGAACCATTTTTTTCCTCGGACTCCCACAAATTTCCCCCGAAACTCCCAGCGAGGATTTTTCTTACCACGAGTTCCGAAATGCCAAAAGGGCGATCGCTTTTCGAAATTCTGGGGTACACTTTCCTCTCTATCTCTCATTGGCTCTGTCGTTTATCCATAAGAAAATAACAAAAAATTCCGCAGTACAGTTTTCAAAAAAAAAAAAAATGTTAATAAAAACAGGGATTTTTAGGGATAATTATAAAATTAATTATTAATTAATTATTAATTAATTATTAATTAATTATTAATTAATTATTAATTAATTATTAATTAATTATTAATTAATTAATTAATTAATTAATTATTAATTATTAATTATTTTTTTAGGGTATCTACTAACCGGGAATAAGCCAGGAATTTTATGCCAATCCGGGAATTTTTTCATCAAATTTAAAAAAGTTTTATTATTATTTAATTTGTTTTTAAAAAATCGCTTTTTATGTCAATTTTGATAGATATTTATACTGTTCTCTAAATTTGAATTAATTAGAAATAATTAATTTGATAGTAAAAAACCAGTCACTGAATCAAATATAGTATGAAAATAAATTTTAAAAAATTATCGAATTAATCGAGGAATTAATAGAAATTTTGTGAAATTCAACTGAAAATAATTTAATTTGTTAAAGAATTTCATTAAAAATTTTTTAACAAATCGTTTTTTCAAAGTATTTTAATTTAATAATTTCTCAATGACAATATTGTTCAGAAACTCATTCTTTTCTTTTGGAAAAGAAACATTACATATTTTATTATATTTTTCAATTACAAATTTTAATTGAAAATGAAATTGAAACTTTTTAAATTTTTAGAAAATAAAGGAAAACATTTTACTCAAAAAAATGTTCTGTTACATTTAGTTACGAATTTCTTTAATTGTAAAATTATTCGAAAACATCAAACACTTTTTTTTTAAAATAAATATTTAATCAATATTATTTTTCCATAGGAATTAAGAATTTCAAAAATTTCAAATTCAAATCTTTTTAAATTCAATAACTTATAAGAATGTTTTATAATAATTAAAGATTACCGAGTGATAAAATAATTGTTTTATATTATAAGAATATTATTACAGTAACTTTTTCAAAATTATTTTCATCATTTCAAATCAATTATTATTTTCTACAATTTTTAATTATTTTTTCTGAAAATAATTGAATTCTTTAAAAGAAATTTTATTATTTATAAAAATAATTTAATTATTGCGAAGGAATAAATAAAAAATTTGTAAATAATTGAATTCCTGAGAAATTTTTATTATTTAGGTATGAAAATAATTAAATGTTTGCGTAATATTTTTGGAAATTTGAAATTGATTTGAAAATATTTGAACTTTGGGGAAGAATTTTGTTATTTATAAAGATAATTGGGATTTTGACGAGAATTTTTTTTTAAATTTGAAAGATAATTGAATTTTATGAGAAGAATTTTATCACTCTTGAAAATAATTGAATTTCTACAATTATTTGTAATTTTTCCAAAATTGCATTTTTTTTTAGTGTTTTGAACAAAACTTTGAATTACAAATTTTTAAATTTCATTATTTTTAAAATTGCTAATTTCATCCTAAACAGTTAGTAAATTGTTGCTAGTTTTTTAATAAAATGGAATTTTTGCAAAGTTTTTTTTTGAAAATTCTTAAAAATAAGATTTTTGAAATTTTTCAATTCTATTATGTTTAAAAATAATTGAATTTTTATAAACAAATAATTAAAGTTTTTTAAAATAATTGCAATTTCTTTACATTCTATTAAAAATAATTAAATTCTTTAAAATTTTACTTTTAAAAATTTCTTCGCAATATATTCAATTATTTTTATAAATAGTAAAACTCATTGCAGAATTTCATTTTTTTTAATACAATTTTAATCGAATTCCTCGAAAAATGTAATTATTCTTAAAAATTATTTTTAAATTCGTCGAAAGAATTCAATTATTTCTAGAAACTGTAAAAAAATTCTTCTCAAGAATTAAATTATTCCCATAAATAGCAAAATTTTTCAGATTTACTAAATTCTTTTGCATATTATTTAAAAAAAAAATTCTTCACAAAAATTCAATTATTTTCAAAAATTGTAATAAAATTCTACGCAAACATTTAATTATTTTCATAAATAATATTCTTTGGAAGGATTCAATTACTTTATAAATAGTAAAATTCTTTGCAGAAATTCAATTAGTTAATACATTTTAATAAAATTGAATTAATCAAATTTTCAATTACAATTATAAACAGACAAGATTATTTTAAAAAATTGAAAAAATTCTTTGTTTAATTCAATTATTTTCCAAATTTGTAATTAAAATTATTAAAAAAAACATTATTTTCAAAAAAAAATTTAAAGAAACTTGTCAAAAGAATTTAATTATTCATAAAAACTGTAATAAAAATTTTGGAAGCCATTTGTAGATTTATTTATGTTCGAAATAAAATAAATTTAAATTTGATGAGAAAAAAAACGGAAAAAATTAGGACAAAGCCGGGAGTTTTGTTGAACGAAAATTGTAGACACCCTGTTAAAGTTTTTTTTTTTTATAAAAAACGTTGGATATTTTAATTCTTTTGTTTATAATTTTATATTTTTTTGTGAATAAAGTTTTGAATGTTTAAACTTTTAATACGTATCTATTAACCTTTTAAAATATAAAAGGGTCATTAGCGTAAAGTGAAATTGTTCTGCATTTTGAAATTGTTATTTCAAGCATGAATTTTCCACATAAATAATTGTAATATGCAATTATTGTGTAGGACATTATTATAGATTTTGTTGAGAGAGAAATTAGAATGTCACTCGAATCACGCTTTTATTGTTTTTTGAATAATTTAACAGGTGTAGGTATTTTATATTATAAATATTCAGCGATATCGAATTTTGATAATTATTTTATAGTAAAACATTTTGAAAAATTTTTCTCTCGCTTACCTTGAATACTTAATAGTTTCCGTTTTCCCCCCTCACTATACGTCCCAGAAGATTGTTCTGCGTCCCTTTTACCCCTTACTCCCTGGAATTCAAAGTAAAAAAGCAATATTAATAAATTAATATTATAAATCAATATATCAATAAATAATTTAAATTCACAAGCTTTTGTGATTCAACGTTTAAAAGAAAACTTTTTTTTAAACAGAAAATAATTTTTTTGTTCATAAATTTTAATTTTTTTATTTATATTTTTTTTACTTGTTGATGATATTATAGTTATTTTTATTATAATTTTTATTGAGTTATTAATTAATAATATATATTGAGTTATTATTACTATTGCAATAAATATTGAATTAACAACCTGAAAGCCCATGATAGCTCGTTTTTGTAAATCTTGAATGTCGTTAAACGAATTTTTTTTGCCTCTCATTCCCTGAAAGCCCATTGGTGCTCTTTTCTCCCACTCGTCGTTAAATTCTTCTCTTTTGCCCCTCATTCCATGGAAGCCCATGGCTAAGGCTCTTTTTTCAAATTCGTCAGGATAATCGTAAGCGTATGACTTTTTCCCCCTTGTTCCATGGAACGGCATTCGTGCTCTCTTTTCCATATCCTCCAGAATCTGTAAATTCAAAGAATTTTTTAAAATTTACTATTAAAGTTGATTCGATATTTTACTCAAAAAATAATAATTTTTCTAAAATTTCAAAAAATAGAAGTCTTTTTTAAAAATTAAATTTTTTGCTGACTCCTTTTGCTAATAAAGAAATTTACTAGATTCAATTAATCTTTCTAAATTTAAGTTCGTAAAAAAGTTTACTAATTTTAATCAGTGACTGAATTTTTGCTTTTCAATTAGTAAATTTTACTATGTAATAAATAGTAATTTTCACTAATTTATTAGTAAAGTTTACTGATTCAAATTTAGAGGGATTGAATGAGATATATTTTTTATTCTTTTCTTATTTTTATTTGTTAAACACTGAAGATGCAATTATCTTCAAAAAAAAAAATAATTGTAATCATTATTATAATGTCCTGTTAATAAATAAATAATTATAATAAAATAATAATAGAAAAAAAAGAAAAATGTGCAGTGAGAAAAAATTATTTGAATCAAATAAAAATTACTTGGTTCAATTAAATGGTTTACTTGTCTATTATCTATTGAATATTTATTTGAACTAAATAAATATTTACTGGACCCTAGTATTTTATTTTATCGTATTAAATAAACAATTATATTTGCGTCAAATATAAATTACTTAAGTCAAATAAATGGAATATTTAGAACTAATAAATAATGGTTTAAATCAATTATGAAAATTATTTAATTCAATAATGCACAATTAAATAAATATTTATTTGCAAGAATAATATTTTTTTTCTAAAAACTAAAAATTTATTTGTAGCAAGTAGGTATTCACGAAAAAAAATTTATTTGTCCCAAGTAATTTTTATTTGTTCAAAAAACTTAAATATTTGAGATAAATAAATAAGTAATTAGTGTCAAATAATTTATTATTTGTGTTAAATAGATTAATTTATTAGATTCGATTAATTATTTACTTGAACCAATTAAGATTTATTTGGTTCAAATCAATGTAATTTAAATAATTCAAGTTATTTGAATCAAATATATTTTTTTCTTGAATGTAAATAGCTTAAAAATAATAATATAATAGAATAGAATTTATTTCTTAATGCTAAAATTTTTAAAAATAATAATTATGATAATTATCACACTGAAAGAAGATTTATTTGGTTAAAATAATCAATTACTTGTCAATTATTAAATAAATATTTACTTGAATCAAATAATTTTTATTTGAGTCAATTAAATAGTATTTTCTTCAAATATTGAAATTATTGGTTCAAATACATTTTATTTCACTTAAATAAAATTTATTTGATTCAAGTAAATATTTATTTGATAATGGACCAAGTAAACAGTTATTTGAATGAAATAAATATTTTTTTATAATTAGGTATAATATTATTTTTTATAATTTATATTATTATTTATTTCATTATAATTATAATAAAATAATAATAAAAATGTATAATTAGTTTAAATTATAAAAAAAAATTTTTGAATTTTATATAAAAAAAGTTTCGTAATTATAGTTTAGAAATTGATAAAAGAAAATAAAACATTTTGTTTTATATTCTTTTATATGAGAGTCGCTCGTAAATGTAATGTACTGATATGATTTTCTCAACGATTTGTTATATAAAATGGAACTTCTGTCAACTTGTTGAATTCTTACTTCTTCAAAGGACTTTTTGCCCCTGACTCCTTGAAAACCCATTGGTCCACGCTTATTGAATTCGTCTTCGTTTGTGTTCTTTTTACCGCGCATCCCTTGAAAACCCATCATTGCAGCTCTCTTCTCAAAATCTTCGTTATAGTAAGGATCTTCAAAAATTGGTACCAAATACTCCTTTTTTCCTCTCATCCCTTGAAAACCCATTGGTGCACGTTTATCCGAATTTTCAAAAGGAAAACTCTCCTCTATGTCGGGTCCAATAATAATTTTCTTTCCTCGCATTCCCTGCAATTTTCATTATATTTTTTTTCTTCTTTTAATTTAAAAACTAAATTCAAACATAAACTAGAATTTTTTTTTAAATAAAATAATTTCATTTCGGTTGTTTAACATTTAATTTAATTAAAAATTTTATTATTCAACATTTCGTTCAATTGGAAAATTAATTAAAAATTAGAATATTTATTTTATTAAAAGAAGTAACGTAATTTCGAATTTTTTATTTTCTTTTACAAATAATTAATTAAAAATGTAAAACTTTTTCTTTTTTTCACAAATAATCTAAAATGAAAAATTTGCATCTTCGTTTCAAAGTTTTACATCTTTAATAGTCAAAGTAGATAAAAGGATTTGAAGGAATTGGAAAAATTTACTCTTGGGAAGGACATGGATTATTATTTGCGTAGACAATTTTTTTTTTGTGATAAGAAAGCAAAGGAGAAAGAGAGAGATAGAAAAAAAAAGTTGAAGTCGATAATCGTGCTTTAAAAGCTTGATCACGATTTACCTGAAACCCCATGGGGGCTCTTTTAGAGTAGTCGTCGTTTTCTGAAGATGTAAGATCTTTTTTGCCTCGCATCCCCTGAAAACCCATTGGCGCTCTTTTTTCTTGGGACACATCATTTGATAAAGATTCCTCGGCGTATGCACAAGTCACTATAATTACGAGAAAAATAATTGGGCCAGCAAACATTCTGCAATCAAATAAATATACTATTATTTTTTTTCATAGCAAATATTTTTTTTTCATGACAAATATTTTTTTTCATAAAAAATATTTATTTTCTATGATAGTTTCAAAGAAAATAATTTTTACATCTGTTTAATGGGAAATTTTTTCATCTGACAAAACGCCTTTTAATTAAATTATATAATAAATGAAAATTAAGTAAACAATAAATGATAATTAAAATAAAATAATTAAAATAAAACATAAATTAAAAATTATTGACAATTAATAATTTGACATTGCAAGTAATTAGAAATTTAATTGTTTATTTTAATTGTATTTAATAGTAGGTAATTATTTCGTTGAAATGTAATTAATTGTAGAAGTATAATTAATTAGTTTAAATTTAATAATTAGGATTTATAATTAAATATAAATTTTTCTTTAATTTTGAATACGATTTTTGAATTGCATTTTAATATTACAATTAGAAAAACTAAAAAAAATTTGCTTTAAGTATATCTTGGGATATTTTCAATACCGAAGTAAAAAGTGAAAAAAAAAAATAAAAGTTTAGTCCAGAGACAGCAGAATACGAAATGTTGATTTAGCATATATGTAAAATTTTGTGGTAAGCCGATGTACTCGTATCCAGAAACAAAGTTAAAATTGACAAAATAAGTTAAATTATCTTTTTGAAAATTCTTTTTCACGATAGAATTGAATTATACAATTTTTTTCTATTCAAATTCTGTACTTTTTTTTTAATATTATCTTCTTTTATTCATCTTGTTATCCTTTTTTATTCAAAAGGTATTTTGTCAAATAAAACAAGTTTATCATTAATCTAAAGTATAAAATTTTGTTTTCTTTTGAAATAAGTATTACAAAAAAAAAATACTTTCCTCTCAGACAAGTAATACAACTTGCGGTTACAAAAGTTTTAAATAGAAATTTAAAAAGTAACAAAAAGTTCTTTTCTCATTTTTAAATTGAAAATTTCATTTATTGGGAGCACTTTGAAAATTATATTTTATATTACAGAGAGAGATAGAGGAGAGCTTCTCATTGCAAAACGTTTTCTAAAAAGCCGGATAAAACTTGTCGGAAAGCTGAGTATAAAATGTATTCATAAATTATTTACGAGGACAGCTCACTTGAATGGAAAATCGAATTTATATCAAGTTAACTGTGCGATTATAGATTGAAATTCAAATGAATTATTCGAGAATTATTATTTTCTGATTTGATTATCATTTTGAATTTTTTATGTTTTCCGCACTTTTGGTAAAATTTCCCTTTATTTGATATCAAATAAATTATAGGTACTTATGAATAAACTCTCATTACTGAATTTATTAAATCGCGTGTAGATACTTATTGGTTTTACATTGAGTTTACTTATTTTAATTATTACCATTGTTTATTGTAATACTATTGTTATCTTTTTCATGTTTTTTGTTTATTATTTGCTATTATCATTATTAAGATAAAGATTAGAGATAAATTTATTTCCTTAATGCTACATATGCTATTGTCATTATTATTATGTTAGAATTATTTTCTTGTTATTACTACTATTATTATTATTGTTTTTATTATTATATTTATCATTATTATTATTTTTATTACTCTCTGAATATGAGTCAGTGAAAGTTGACTGATTTAGATTTAGAGAGTATTATTACCGTTTTTATTATTATTATTATTATTATTATTATTATTATTATAAAAATAATAATTATTATCATTGCTGTTACTATAATATTTTTGATGATTATTGCATTTTTAATTTTTACGCTCGATATGAAAAATTTCCGAAATAAATTAACCCATTTAGTAGTGACTTTTGAAAAATTAATTTTGACTCTCGATTTTAAACAATTTATTTTTAGAACAACATACAGACGAATAGATATAAAAGTGATGTAAAGTATGTAGGTTCGTATGCATTTATTGTTTAAATTTGATTAAATGCTGTGTGACTGACAGATCCGAGTAAAATTGAAATAGAATTTCTCTACTTTGTGTTTTGAAATTAAAAAATCTTTAGTTTAATCGTATTTGCTGAAACAATCATTTTTCAAGCTTGTATAAATTTTTATTGTTTTTTTAGTTTTTCATTATTTTATTATAAAAGAGTAGGTATAAATGTCAAGGAGACATAATTATTTCAATAAAATTAACAGCAATTATCATTATTAAATATTATATATAATGAATCAAGTAATGAATTATTATTTAAATTACAATAATATATTATTTATTATTATATAATTATGTAATAAACACAGGGATCACAGTTAGTTCCCTTTTTTCATAATTTCCCCCTTTTTATCCCCTGAAATTAATAAAATCCCCTAAAACACCTAAAATAATAAATTTTCTTTCCTTCTCCTCTCATTTTTAAGAAAAAATTATAAAATTGTAAATTTTTCTGTAAATTAGACACATTTTTAGTTAAATTTTTACTTTTCGTAAACTTTGAAAAAATGTTAGTTTTTGTAACTTAAAAATCTTTTTATAGGTATTATTTCTCAGAGTCTTTAAACTTTTAGAAATTTTTTCATAAAAGGTAACAAATATAAAATAACTATACTTCTTTTGTTATTTATTTATTTAATTTATTTATTTTAGTTATTTATTTTAGTTGTATTATAAATTTTACTAAATTCAAAAGTATATTTTACTAATTTTCAATAAAATTTACAACGCATATCATAAAATTTACTCTGGAAATAATGATTTTTAATAGCAAAATTTACTATTTTTAATGTAAATTTTTTTTATTCAAATTATTCAAATTTCAAGCAGCTATTAAAAATTCTTATTTTTAGAGTAAATTTTACTATTTTTGAAGTAAATTTTTCTAACTTTTATAGAAAAAATTGTATTGGAAAATTGTAAAAGTTATACTGGAAATAAAAATTTTTAATTTAATAACAATTTTAATAAAATTTACTAATTCAAAAGCAAAAAATCAATTACTATTTCATACATTTTTTCTAATTTAAATTTGGAGAGTAATTTAAAAATTCCTCCTTTTTAAACTGAATCTCCTTTTTGAAAAATAAAAATCCTCTTTTTTACCTAATTTACCTAATATTACATGAAAAAATCACCGTTATCCCTGTAAATATTAAAAATTACAATAATTTTAATAATTATTTTAATTTTGTAATATATTGTAAGTTTGTAATAATTTATATAAATATTATTATAATTTATAACAGATTTATAATAATTATTATTATTTACTATCATTATTTACTATTATTATTTACTATTATAATTATAAATTATATAAATTAATTATAATTATAATTCTAATAAATAATAAACTTCTAATAAATATTATGAATTATTATTATTTCAATTTCAGTAAAAATGATTAATAAAATAAAATTATCTATCAAGTATGAAATAAAAAGTGAAGTGTAAAATTCAGAAATAATTACATAAATTGAGAAAATGTAATTAGTGCGAGAATGAAATAAAATTAATAAGGAAATGATGAAAAGAATTCAACTTGTATGGTGTTAAAAATAGAAAATGTGAAGAGTTACTTTTCACGATTCAGTATTTTTTTCTTTCTTTTTCTGTCGTTTTAAAGAAGACGTTCACATTGTTGCGTTCGCACGTGAAATAAATGTGAAACGGTTACCGCAGCAGTTCACATATTTGTATCATATATATAGTTGTTTCCTGTTGTTTAGATCCCCCTAACGAAAGTAAAATGCTCGATTTCTTCCCTGTTGACACGCAATCGGAAGCTTCTATCCTTCGAAAGAAAAGGATCTTTGAAAAGAATTATTTTCCCCTTTTGATCCTTTTATCTTGCACATAATTGAGGGAAAAAAAAATTGTTATCTATATTATAGTTTCTTCTTCTTTTTTCGAAAAACAGAAATTTCTTTTGTACTACTTAAAAAGTTTCTTATTCTAATTCAGTACATGTACAGAATTATTTATCGTTTTTGAAAAGAAATCGTTGGCAAAAAATTGTTGTTACCAAAGGATTGTTATGAACTATACTTTTATATACTTAATTTATATTGCTATATTTTTTTTATAAATGCGGCAAAAGTAGTGGATATTAATTGAATCGAGTTGCATTCAGAAAGATTTTGCTTTATGAAAATTCTTTTTGAATTGAAGTATATGTATATATATTTAGGGTTGATTGTTGGTAGTTTAATTTTGTAAAATATGTGTAGAAAAATATATCCAATTATCTTGAAATGGAAACTTAGTTTATATCTGAAAATTTAAATGAATAAGTCATGAAGGAGCCGAGTACTTAGTATATATTAATTAACTAGAAAGCAGAAATTCAAAATCATTTATGTCCCTAGTCACGGACTTTATTCCTATGGAAGATCTCAACCTCTCAGGAGACTCAAAGGAAGACCAGCGCTAATTTTCTACGGTTTCCTAATTTTCTATATTTACATACATGCAATATTCTCTAGAGAAATGAATATTTCTATAAATAAATTCTTTTCCATATGAAAAATTACATTTTTCGTAGTTTAAAATTCAATTGTCGATGATTAATTATTAGACTATAGTATCGAGATTAGTTAATTAATAAATAATGACTAATAAATAACTAATAAATAAATAATAATAATAATAAATTATAATAGTGATAAATAAATAAAAAATAATATAATATCAACTATTTGATGTAGTAAACTAGATATAATTTAGGAAATAGGATGATATTTGAAATTAGGATTGAAATTTGAAAATAAATAAAGTAAAAAGTATACACTTTTTCTGGGACAAATTTTAAGAATTAAAAGGATTGACAAAGTGGATAGAAAACTACTGACACTTTAAAAAATTTTAACTTCCGAAAAAGGCTATTACATAAACATTTTATGCGTTCCTGTTTCTACTTTTCTACTTTTCTCTTTTTCTCTAAGAAATTTATCACCAACCTTTTGAATTTTTAATTTAAGATATATATACATATTATTCTTGAATTATTTTCTGTAATATTCATTGTTTTATATATAT